TCTGTGGAAAGAGACTCTGAAAGTTTCAGGAAAAAAGATTCTCTCTCTTTTTGATCCATTTCTATAAAAACCTGTCTGAAAATGAGCTGATCAGATTTTGACCACTTTATGATGTCATAATGATGTGTTGTCTTGGTTAACCATTAGCCAATCAGCAACCAAGGTAACCCCCCCTTATCACCTGAATCTCCTCCTAGGGCACCATTGAGTTCTTTGTAACCAAATCTCTCTCAGAGGGGCGTGGGGAGGGGCTCCTTATTTAAAGTAACAGACAGAGAATCAGCACTTTGGAAACAGGGCTGAAACAGAGGGGATTATGGGTAATGCTGCAATGATCTGTTTGGTGTTTCAGCCAATCAGAGACAGGCTCTGGATATATCTGAGACCTGTGATATATTGATGAAAAACAGTGTAATAGGGGACCTTTAAACCATCTGGCAGGTACAGGTGGTGTAACCATAACTATTACATGTCCAACAAGTGTAATCAGTACCCTAATCTGAGTATCCAAATATAAAATTACTTACAAGAAATATCAAACTATGATCAAAACGTCACGTCACAAAGCAAGAATCCAGTAGTTCTTGTTTCCGCTGATGAATCCATGACCAAAATATGGTAAGGGACAAAACCCCATGAAGTAACAAATGCAGAGAGTGAGAAATGAAAGATTAATCAAGTTAGAGAGGGTGATAACTTTCTGAAAGTGGAGGGAACTAATTATTTCAGTTTCAGTGTGTCCTCTGGTCCCACCAACACCTCCGTCACTCCAAATAATACCTGGCGCAGTGACATTATACGTATTTGTATTCGTTATAAGCTGTAAACCCCCCGAGACAAATGTAAAATGGGTGATATCAGGCTGTATAAATACATTTTGATTGATTCATTGATTGACACGAGGACAGCATTGATGAAGTCCACGTTGCTCCGTGCGACTGCGTCATGGAAGTTTAAAGACAACGAAACATGGACAGCTGACTTGGGCAAACAGAATATTCTGACAGTGTTTTTTCATATTCAAAAAACAAAACAAAACAGCTTTCAACTTAAAAAGAAACTCTAAGAAGCGACTGTCATATTCATATTTTGTGGAATGAAAACGCAGATAGACGCAGCCGGTGAGTTTCCCCTCGGGGGTCAGAAGACATTTAGCCTCCACCAGCGTTCCAGGATTCACTCTCAGACATTACATTAGACCAGGGGGGTCAAACTCAAGGCCCGGGGGCCAAATCCGGCCCGCGACTTCGTTTTATGTGGCCTTGCAAAGAATATAATAAACAATACTGTACTACAATACTGGCTTTTAATGTGTGATTGTTTTTGTATTATTTGACTTTAACTTTAACTATATATTTATTTGTTGTTCCTTTCTTTTCTTTTCTTTTCACTATATCTGTAACGCGTCTTTGAGCACATGTAAAAGCGCTAACAAAATAAATCT